TGTTTGACACGAGGTAAGTTTACTGCAAGTTAAGTTTAGAGCAAGGTAAGTTTAGAGCAAGGTAAGTTTTGCACAAATTAAGTTTTAAGTCTGGAGCAAGGTAAACTTGGCACAAGACGACCTTTTTTTACCAATTTTGTGCCGAAATTTGAAAAGCATAACAGATGTCGATATTTAACATTTTTTCTGTGATTTTCGAAAAACAGAATTGAATTTTAGATTTATTTTGTCAAAATTCTTTTCATTTAGAAGACTATAGATTGATAGGTTTCTACAAATTTATTTGCATATTTGTGGAAGGTTTGCTATATTTCATTGCTATATTTATTATTTTTTTTTTAAATCTTAGAAAAATAGAGCAAGGTTTTCGCTCTGTCCTCAGCAGACGCGACAAACTTCATTAATAATCTTTTAATCCGCTAAAACAGTTTTTGAAAGCGATGAAAATTTAATGAATCGCGCGAATCAATATGTTTCCATTAGCCCAAAAGAAAATCTCCAAGCGGTTGGAATTGAAACAGAACAAGGCGACTGGTGGGTTCGATAAAGTTAATCAGCAGTTTAAAGAAGGTCTAAACGTTCAAATCGAGAAACTAATGAAAAATGCAAATATTACGGTCTTCCATAAGTATTTTTTTTCATTTTCGGTAATCAATTGTAAAGAGGACTTGTATTGAAGGAATATTCTGAATTCAAAATCATATTGTATTATTAATCCATTTACCTCATGTGATTAAACCTTTTCTCCACTAATCTTTTGTTACAGTGTCGTCCTTACAATATTATTAACCAGGAACTATGAGCTTTTACGAACATTTTAATAGTCATAATAAAATGAATGGCAGCACGGAATTTGAAATCGAATGACCGCTGTTAAATTCTAGTGGGGTTCGTTCGATTCTCTTATGCGCAGATAACTTTGAGAAAACTATGTATCCGCTTCTTCTCTTCTCCCCAGCTATGGGTTAAATAGTAGGGCTTGTATGCGAAAAAATAATTGAGTCAGCCAGCATAGAAGAGGGAGCCTCACCAAAACATATGACAATGCCAATAAATAAATAAATATACTCTGGAGAGACTTGAGCAGCGTGAGTGCATGTTCTGCTATAGTGATTTAATTTTTACGGTTTATCAACCTTTTAGAGTTTATACAAAACAAGAAAATATTTTTATATGTATGTGGTATTTTACGGCATTGGTCATATGCTGCAAATATCAGTGTTTAAGTAGCGCGTTTCAGATCACCACCTCTCAGTCATATTCGCATTGATGTTTTGTCCTTCACGTCTTGTGTATCTATCTCCTGTGATTATTATTATTATTATTATTATTATTATACTTTATTTCTTACGATTGATTGATTTGTTTATACGGTTCCCCATGTTTGGAAGGTTCTTTAGTGCCAGAAAATATATTTAGATTGTAAGAATGTTTGGGAGACAATGATGATATATAGATACAAACCTTACTAATTAACCCATAGATGCGGGGAAAAGAAATGAATTCATACCTTTCCCCTAGATTATTTGCACATAAATGATTATAACGAACCAGACTGGAAACGAAACTCGGCTCTCCGACTTCCAATTGCAAGATGGTCTCTTTTACACCCGCTGCTTACAGCACGTGGCAATTTCAAGCGATCATCTATCTATCTACTGACCAAGATCGACGTTGCTTAACTTTGGTAAGCGTACTGATGTCTCAACGCGATATGGCAGTAAGCCACTTTTCAGTAAATTTCCTTACCAGGTCGAGATTTGCGGTAAATCAACTTACGTGTGCATTCTTTTCGCATAAATACTATTTGTGAAAAAAATAAGTGCTATGAAAGTCGTTTCATGATGTCGTGTTGGACAATCTTTCTTACAAGTATCTATCTTACATATTTATAAGCATTCTTTCTCCAATGCTTCCTTAAGATACCAAACTTCACTATCCAAACATTATTAGAAACTTAAAGATAGAGGCTTCACCCTACAAATTAAATGGGATATCATCTGCCAGTTTCAAAGCCAAAACAACTTCCGGGATAGCTGCAATTTATGCATATAAGAGAAAATTGTAATTATTAAATATAAAAATGCTGACCAATTATTGAATCAAAGGAACGAACTTATCTTGAAGTGTAGACAAAAGGATAGATTTAAAATTCCCTAAAACATGGATTTGGAGGAATATACAGTTGAATTAAGAAACTACTAAAACTGATTGTTCGTACTAACACTTTCTACTTCTCTGTATATATTCCTGTTTTTAATATATCTGTGTTATTCCATATCCGTGTTCGAGTTCTTCTTTATTGGTTCTACCTTGGACTATCACCGTGGTATAAGGAACCGGACCATAACAATTATTTATATAGTATTATTATTAATAATAAAGATAATAATATCTTAACAAACAAAATGATTGACGCAACTCTTCCAGTATTTTTAAACAGTTCAGAGAAGAGAGCGATTTATGAAAAGAATAAAGAAAAGGAAAATCACAGTGTTTGACAATATTCCAAACAATATTTCAACAGAATGTCCGTCTTCTTCAAGTCATATTTAAACATTTTTAACAAGTATAAAAATGTATAAAATCTACAAATAATTATTATGAGTCTTTGTACAAATGTTGCTTGTCTTGTAAATAAAAAAAAACGACTGTACTGGCAATGAACGCCTAAAACGAATGAAACGTGGCCAGAGGGAAGGCATGAAACTGAAACGTGTTTAACAGGGTAGTGAACTTCTTCATCTTAAAATCTCCGTTAGTTGATAAGTTACTAAAAGGAATTAATCAAACAGTTTAGTATAAGTATTATTTGTTTAAATGTAAATTGAAGACAAACTGTTGAAATATTGTTTAACATTGCCAAACATCCTGTTACTTGTGTTTATTTATCTTTTCTTAAAATGCCATATCATCTTTATTATTATTATTAGTATTAGTATTAGTATTAGTATTATTAGTAGTAGTAGTATTGATATATTATAATTTTAATAATTTATTAATATTACTATATTAATATTATTATTATTAAAAAGATATTATTATTTACATACTATAATTTACATACTATTATTAATATATATTAATATATTAGTGTTAATATATTATTATTATTATTTATATATTATTATTAATAGATTATTATTGTTTATACATTATTATTAATAGATTATTATTTTTAATATATTATTATTAATATATTATTATTATTTTTAATACATTATTATTAATAATATATGAATATATTATTATTATTAATATATTGTTTATACATTATTATTAATATATTATTATTTTTAATATATTATTATTAATATATTATTATTATTTTAATACATTATTATTAATAATATATTGATATATTATTATTAATAAATTGTTATTAGTAGTATATTATTATTAATATATTATTATTTATATATAATTATTATTAATATATTATCATTATTTATACATTAATATTAGTATATTATTACTTATATATTATTATTAATATATTATTATTAATATATTATTATTTAAATATTATTATTATTAATATATATATATTATTAATATATTATTACTATTATTTTAATATTATATGAATATTAATATATTATTATTAATATATATTATTCATATATTATTATTAATATATTATTATTTATATACTATTATTATTATATTATATATATATATATCATTATTAAGATATTATTATTATTTTTAATATTATATGAATATTAATATATTATTATTATTAATATATTATTTTATATATTATTACTAATATATTATTATTTTTTATTATATTATTATTAATAATATAATAATATTAATATATTATTATTATTAGTAGTAGTAGTAGTAGTAGTAGTATTAGTATTATTATTATTAATATATTATGCACTTTTCAATCCGTCTTACTTGCGTACTTATCCCCAGTGCCTGCGACTAGAATTCAAGTTTGAACGAAAAGCTGCGAATTTCGGATGCAGATTCACAAAGACGGGAAACAAGAGAAAATCCAGTTGGGAGTTGATGTAAAATATTTTTTTTTTCTCGTTCATCCCACTCTTTTTTTATTTGGAACAATTTGTAGAAGTAAAAAAAACTAACCTCAATAATTCTGCGATAAATATTTAAAAAATGTGTAATCTGGCACAGGGCATACTAGGAGAGCACTCGATAAATCTCACTTAGTAACGTGCGTCATTCCCCCAGCAAGCCACGGCTCAATTTCAGGTTTGCTCCCAGGTAATAGTTCATTATCTTAGACACGGTTGTTCGTTATAACAATATCAATATGTGTTATAAAATGGAAACATGTCAATTTTGTAACCCGGATGTAATTACAATACCACATCGTAATAATATATCTTAGCTCGTAAAGTCCCGAGAGACCGCTGTCGAAAACTGTACTTTTATTCAGAAAAATGTATTAGTTTTACTGCTGCCTGCCATATCTATAAGAAAGGTAGCCACCAGCAATTGAAATTTGCAGATCTATTAACGCCACTGTCGAGAAGAGGCTGAACATTGGCAGATAATTAGGAAAATGGCTCTGCCCACAAGGAAAAACATGTCTTCAATAGTTTCAAACCGATCTTGGATGACGACGCACAAGCCAACAGCGCCAGCTAAGTATTACTTCGCTAGAAATATGAGACGAGGTTGCGAGGAAAAATCTACAATATAAAGAGGTTAGTTCCGACATCATCCTTGGCCCGACGCTTCAGATCACTCTGAGAATCACTTCCCTAAGGGTTTTTTTTTTTTTCATGTCCTATATGATTCTGTACAGTGCGATCTAATTTAGATCTTGATACGAAAGTGTATATGGCGGTGAGAGAATGAGATATTTGAGTGGAAGCGTCTGGGCATGGGGTATCGAGACGGGTGGTGGTTAGACGTGGGTTGGGGGAAGCCTGAAAGTAAAGCTTTACGAAGAGTAATATGAAAGTTTTAGGATGGGCGATCTGTAATATTCTGAATAGATGGCGCCATACTTTGGAATTTCAGTAGAATTTCTGCTTCGTTTTCTCAGCTGGGAGCAATGACAGTCTGGTTCGTAGATCGTCCGCTCGCAAAAGAGAAGGGCCTGGGGACTTGTGAAATGCGAGGAATGACCCATACCTACGTGAACGGGTTGGTGTCAGTGCCGTGGCCCGAAGGGTAAAGTGAAAAGAGCTTATGAGAGAGTGTCTGCTGAGGTTCGTAAAGTGTTACTTTAATCTTTTCGGTTATGAAAAACTTCGGAGAGACACAGAGAGTGAGAGAGAGAGAGAGACAGATGTTGGATTGGATATGGGTAGACACGTGAAAAAATTAATTGGTAAAGACTGGAGCTAAAATCGAGTTGAAAAACAAAAAGGGAGTAGAAAGAAATATTCTCAAGAGAAATATTTTGAAAAGTGAATAATAATAAATAAAAGAATGAATCAAATTTAAAAAAAAACACGAAAAAGTAACAAGAAAACGAGAGAAAGAACAAAAAGAAAAATGCGTGAGAAAGAAACGAAAAAACAACGGTCTGAAACGAGAAAACCAGATAAAAGAACGTGAAAACGAGAGAAAGAAACGAGAAAACAAGAGAACGGATGAGAAAACAAGAGAGAAGAACGAGAAAACACGAGAAAGGAACGAGAAAACAAGTAAAAGAACGAGAAAACAAAAGCAGGATATGTGAAAACAAGGGAATGGAACGTGAAAAAAGAGAGAAAGCAACGAAAAAACAAAAAGTGAGTAAAAAGAAAAATTCTCAAGAGAAATATTTTGAAAAGCGAATAAAAATGAATGAAAGAATGAATTAAATATAAAAACAAAACAGGAAGATGTAACGAGAAAAGAAGAGAAAGAAAGAAAAAACGAAAGAAAGAAACAAGGGACTGAAACGAGAAAAGAAGAGAAAGGAACGTGAAAACGAGAGAAAGAAACGAGAAAACAAAAGAGAGGAACGTGAAAACTAGAGAAAGGAACGTGAAAACGAGAGAAAGGAACGTGAAAACGAGAGAAAGAAACGAGAAAACGAAAGAGAGGAACGTGAAAACTAGAGAAAGGAACGTGAAAACGAGAGAAAGGAAGGAGAAAACGAGAGAAAGGAACGTGGAAACAAGAGAAAGAAACGTGAAAACTAAAGAGAAAGGAGCGAGAAACGAAAGAAAGTAACGTGAAAACAAGAGAAAGGAACGAGAAACGAAGAGAAAGTAACGTGAAAACGAAAAGGAAAGAGAAAGGTACGTAAAAACTAGAGAAAGGAACGTGAAAACGAGTGAAAGGAAGGAGAAAACTAAAGAGAGGAACGTGAAAACAAGAGAAAGAAACGTGAAAACTAAAGAGAAAGGAACGAGAAACGAAGAGAAATTAGCGTGAAAACAAGAGAAAGGAACGTGAAAACTAGAGAAAGCAACGAGAAAACGAGCGTAGAAACAATTCTATGGAGGCAGAACGAGCTCAATAACAAATTGGAACTGTTTAAGAAGTCATTTGCTCGATCTGGATGATAATAATATTTTTTGTCTTTCTTTCCTCTGACGAAGCTTCAGCCGAAGGGCGCCTTAGGCAATATTTAATTTATTCGACATTTAATAGTTAAATATTAAATTGTGATACCTACCTTAAAACTTATTATATATATATATATATATATATATATATATATATGTGGGTTTGAACAAACATGAATGTGCTTGAGCAGGCGTCTGAATTAGGGATTGGTTAGCCCCCCCCCTAGTAGACCAGTATCCTTGAATACGAGTGGCCAACTATTATTATAGATCTTTGGTATATGGTCTGTAATAACCAGTATTCACTTCCAAGGTCTCATCGAGAAAGTTGATCACTTTAACATTGGTGTTAGTGGTGATATTTATCTCGCCATCATTGAAAAATTTTATCAGTTCCTTTCTCAATCGGTCTATAATTCTTGGGCTTTTTTTACGGAGTTGAATTACACCGTCATCTCCATAGAGTTCGAAAATTAAGCATAGTCGCCACAATGAGAAGATTCCAACAATTTCGTATGCCTCTGCAGAATCATGTTTCCATAACAATATTAAATTCTGTCTTATTTCTTTTGCTCCACAAACAGCCATTATGGAATAATATAAGGGTTCGTGCTTGTTTTATGATCTTGATTTTGCGATCGATAAAACCGGTTAACATTTTTTCGACCCAAAATTGGTGGGCAGTTGGCACATGTTTTCGGGTTACTTTTCACGCTGAATCTCAAAATCAAGTCCATTTTGCTCCATCATATCACGTTTTCTCAATACAGATGATTTCTATTTTGCTTAAAAATTTGCCAAAATATCTATTTAACAGTGATACGCTAGGGCCAAGTAAAACAAACCTTAAACGTTATCATAAAAGAAAAAGTATTTCAATAACTTAAAGAATACATTTTCAGAATTTTCAGTTCAGAAAAAGTTTTCAGAAAAGTCTCATCCAAAATTAAATTCAAGCAAACACGTGTCATCAATTTTTTTTTTTAATCAAAACAAATGAATGAAAAAATGCATTCATTATTGTCCATCCAAAGGTATATAAAACATCTCTTCTTGGAAACTCTACGGTGTTTTTGAAAAGGATAATCTCTTTTGATGCTTCGGCAGAAATCAGCCATCATGTTTACATCCCATCTGCCTTTGTATCTATTTTCCATTACCTTGAGATCCTGATGAACCTTCTCTCTCTGTTCAACATTATAATCACCTAGATTATTAAGAAAACTGATCGGGGTGATTAAACAGAAATTGAGTCTTGATTCTCATGTTACACCCGAGTAGTTTCAAGGACATCGTCAGGGGATGGGTCGGAAAAGGGCCTAGATGGCTATGACTATTTGGTGTTTGGTGGCTATTTTAAGTACTGATGAAGATAATTCTAATCTTGCTACAATACACTGCTTAAATACACTTGATTAACACCCTAACAACTCACATTTATCGATGTTCCTATTATACAGAGACTGCATAACAATACCAGACCTCCGTAAATTCAAGTGATATGATAAGATCTTGTGACGGTTTCAAGTTTAAAGTGAAAACTAGTAATAAAAACTAAAACTGCTGTTCTTGAATCACTTCAAAAGAGCTTCTTCTATGAAAAGTAGAAAAGAAAGAACGATTCACAAAGTTTTAACGAACTGAAAACACTGAGATCACAAGAATATTTTGAGTGAGTTATCTCATAAAAATCGAGCATTTTCAGGTCAGCTTATCTGAAATGAAATAATTTAGAATTTATTTGAAAATTATTTGGATACTTTATCTTGAATGATAAATTATTTTAACATGAAACGAAATGTTTCAACTATGGTACTCGCATGTTTAAGCTGTGGCATATCCCTGGGGATTAGGCAGTTTGGCCTATTTTAAGCAAAATAGAAATTATCTGTACGTAGAAAACGTCAAGTGATGCGTCAAAATCGACTTGGTTTTCAGATTCAGCGTGAAAAAAATCACCCAGAAACATGTGCCCATTACCCAACGACATTTGCGTTGAAAAAAAATGTCAACCGGTATACTAGGACAGTAATTTTTTGCTAAATTGATAAGAAATGTGGCCGAGAGGTCTAAGTATTCCAGATCTAATGAAGGTTTCCCGTAGGGCTCGCAGGTTCGAAAGTGTGCATATTTTTCTGACAAGGTTTCTCGGATATTCAGGCCGCTGAAAATTAAATAAACAATTATGCTGTATAATAAATAAATAACAACAGGGCATCTACTCATGTGTATCCATTAAAAATAGTTTAAATATATATATTAATCATTTTCACTCCATGTCAGGACAAATAAAAATATTGATTCGCCTTTGGATTTTATCAAGACATATTTGATTTCATCTGTTTTCCTATTTATTTAAACAGAAATTTTGGGAAGTGAAAAAAAAAGAGGAGTTATTTTTCAATTTCTAAAATTCTATGTTATTTTCATTGCATTGATTCGATGTAAAGTGTATATCTTATGGCGTTTGTGTCTGTGTATGTATCAGTTTTTAAAGTCTCTTCTTCTGTATGTTTCTATGAACGCCACATACAGAATATATATCATGGCGTCTTTGTTTATGTAGGCATGAATTTTGTGAATACAAGGAAGAGAAAATATGGAAAATGAAGGAGGCTGAAAAAGACAAAAAAAAAATGCTGTGAAAGAAAGAAGAAAATGTCATAATTTGGGAAGTGGTAAAAATTCAAAAAGTAATTGAAAAATAAATATGAAAAGAATGAAGAGACTTGACAAATGATGGTTTTCTAAGCTTAGCTTAGAAGTGGCACAAGGCCTAAATTATGGAGCACCCAGTGAAGATCAAAATCTCTACTCAGTTGTAATTGTTTTAGGGAGACAAGACTGCTAACGATTACACAAGGTCGAAGTTCCCAAATTATTTTCTAAGCGGAACTTAGATGTAGCACAATGACGAAAGTGTAGGGCACCCAGTGAGGATCGAACTCACTATTCAGTCGATATTGTTCTAGCAAGACATGTTTTCTAACCTCTGCACTATGCCGAAGTGTCCAAATGATTTTCTTTACATAACTTAGATGTGGCACAATGGCGAAATTATGGGGCACCCAGTGAGGATCGAACACATGATTCAGTCGTCATTGTTCTAGCGAGACATGTTTGCTAACCACTACACCATTTCGAAGTGTCCAAATGATTTTCTATACATAACTTAGATGTGGCACAATGGCGAAATTATGGGGCACCCAGTGAGGATCGAACACATGATTCAGTCGTCATTGTTCTAGCGAGACATGTTTGCTAACCACTACACCATTTCGAAGTGTCCAAATGATTTTCGTAGAAGTGGCATAAAGTCGAAATTATGGTGCACCCAGTGCGAATCGAAGATTTCACTCGCTCTTTTTCACAAGTATTTTCATGGAAATTGCTCTGACTGGTGTTTTTCCTTGATGCGACAACATTAGTTTAAGCGTGCTACTAGATTGGCATTTAGGTCCCACCTTTTTACTTTTGAAATAGCTAAATGGAACCTCTACTTCTACTCCAACAGTTTCTCTTCTTGCTCTTCCCAACTGTGGAACTTCCTTCCTCTTACATGATTCCCTGATAACTACAATCTTCAAAAGTTTAAATGCAACGTCAATCGACATCATTTGTTGCCTTGATCCACGTTGATTTTCTATTCTCTCCTCAATTCCCCCCCCCAATGCCCAGATTTTTCTCTGAATTTTACTCTATGTAACCCCCTGAGTAATAGTGGCACCCTGCGTGAAATTCTTCTAAAGAATAAATCATAAAGAAGAGGAAGGAAAGAAAAATAGAAAGAAAGAGGAAGGAAGAAAAATAAAAGAAAAAGGGAAGGAAAGAAAAAACTACAAGAAATGAGGAAGAAGAAAAATAGAAGAAAAGATGAAGGAAGGAAAAATAGAAGAAAAGAGGAAAGAAGAAAGGAAACATAGAAGAAAAGAGGAAGGAAGAAAGGAAACATAGAAGAAAAGAGGAAGGAATGACAAATAGAATAAAAGAGGAAGAAAAAATAGAAGAAAAGAGGAAGGAATGAAAAATAGAAGAAAAGAGGAAGGAAGAAGGAAACATAGGAGAAAAGCGGAAGGAATGAAAAATAGAAGAAAAGAGGAAGGAAGAAAGGAAAAATAGAAGAAAAGATGAAGGAATGAAAAATAGAAAAAAAGAGGAAGGAATGTAAAATAGAAGGAAAGAGGAAGGAACAAAAAATAGAAGAAAAGAGGAAGGAAGAAGGAAACATAGGAGAAAAGCGGAAGGAATGAAAAATAGAAGAAAAGAGGAAGGAAGAAGGAAACATAGGAGAAAAGCGGAAGGAATGAAAAATAGAAGAAAAGAGGAAGGAATGAAAAATAGAAGAAAAGAGGAAGGAATGAAAAATAGAACAAAAATGGAAGGAAGAAGTAAAAATAGAAGAAAAGACGAAGGAATGAAAAATAGATGAAAAGAGGAAGGAATGAAACATTGAAGAAAAGCGGAAGGAATGAAAAATAGAAGAAAAGAAGAAGGAAAGAATAAATAATAGTGGAAAACAGGAATGAAGGAAAGATACAAGAAAAAAGGAAGGAAGAAGTAGAGGGAAAGGGGAAGGAATGAAAAATAGAAGAAAAGAGAAAGCAAGAAAGGAAACATAGAAGAAAAGACGAAAGAATGAAAAATAGAAGAAAAGAGGAAGGAAGGAAAAATAGAAAAAAAGAGGAAGGAATGTAAAATGGAAGGAAAGAGGAAGGAATGAAAAATAGAAAAAAAGAGGAAGGAAGAAAGGAAAAATAGAAGAAAAGAAGAAGGAAAAATAGAAGGAAAGAGGAAGGAATGAAAAATAGAAAAAAGAGGAAGGAAGAAAGGAAAAATAGAAGAAAAGAAGAAGGAAAAAATAGAAAAAAGGAAATGAAAAATGGAAGGAAGGAAAATGAAAAAATAGAAGAAAAGAGGAAGGAAGAAAGGAAAAATAGAAGAAAAGATGAAGGAATGAAAAATAGAAAAAAAGAGGAAGGAATGTAAAATAGAAGGAAAGAGGAAGGAACAAAAAATAGAAGAAAAGAGGAAGGAAGAAGGAAACATAGGAGAAAAGCGGAAGGAATGAAAAATAGAAGAAATGAGGAAGGAATGAAGAAAGGAAACGTAGAAGAAAAGACTAAGAAATAAAAAATAGATGAAAAGAGGAAGGAAGGAAAAATAGATAAAAAAGAGGCAAGAAAGATGAAAAATGAAAAAAGGAAGGAAAAATAATAAAAAGAAAAGAGGAAAATGGAAAAAAAAAAAAATGGAAGGAAAGAGGAAGGAATGAAACATTGAAGAAAAGCGGAAGGAATGAAACATTGAAGAAAAGCGGAAGGAAAGAATAAATAATAGTGGAAAACAGGAATAAAGGAAAGATACAAGAAAAAAGGAAGGAAGAAATAGAGGAAAAGGGGAAGGAAGGAAAATAGAAGAAAAGAGGAAGGAAGGAAAATAATTGAAGAGAAGAGGAAGGAAGGGAAAATAAGAGAAGAAAAGACGAAGGAAGAAAAAAAAGAAAATAAGAAGGAAATTAAAATAATGGAAGGAAACAGTAAAGAAAGAAAAATAATGGATGGAAACAGTAAGGTATAAAAAATAGAAGAAAAGTGAAAAGAAAATAGAAGAAACAAAGAAAGAAGAAATAGAAGAATAGTGGGAGGAAGAAAACTTGAAGAATATAGGAAGGAAGGAAAAATGAAGAAGGGAGGAAAGATGAATGGGAAAATAATAGAAGAACATAGGAAGGAAGGAAAAATAATAAAGGAAAAAAGGAATGGAGGCAAAAAAGTAAAAAGTGAAAGGAAAGAAAAATAATCGTAGAAAAGAGGAAGGAAGGAAAAATAATGGAAGAAAAGAGTAAAGAAGGAAAAATAGAAGAAACGAGTAATAAAAGAAAAGAAGAAGAAAAAATATTATAAAAGTATAAAAAAAGGAAGGAAGGAAAATAGAAAAAAGGAAGGAAGAAAAAAAGAGGAAGGAAAAAAGAGGCAGGAGAAATGATAAAAAGAAAAAGAGGAAGGAAGAAAAAATAATAAAAGAAAAGAGGAAGGAATGTAAAATAGAAGAAAATAGGAAAGAAGGAAAAATAGAAAAAAAGAGGAAGGAATGAAAAATGGAAGGAAAGAGGAAGGAATGAAAAATAGAAGAAAAGAGGCAGGAGAAATAGAAGAAAAAGGAAGGAAGGAAAAGTGATAAAAGAAAAGAGGAAGGAAGAAAAAATAATAAAAGAAAAGAGGAAGGAATGGAAAAAAGGAAGAAAATGAAAGGAAAGAAAAATGACAGAAGAAAAAGGAATGAAATAAAAACTAATACAAGAAAAGAGGAGGGAAACAAAAAATAGATGAAAATAGAAGACAAAAGGAAGGAAAGAAAAATAATAGAAGAAAAGAGGAAGGAAGGAAAAATAATGGAAGAGAAGAGGAAGGAAAGAAAAATAGAACAAAATGGAAGGAAGGAAAAACAATCAGAGAAAAGAGGAAAGAAAGAAAAATAATGGAGGAAAAGAGGAAGGAAGGAAAAATAATGGATGGAAAGAGGAAGGAAGGAAGGAAGGAAAAATGATGGAAGGAAAGATGAAGTTCTTTTTTTTAGATAAGTTTAGATGGGTTACATTGTCGGCACTATGTTCCCCTAGTGAATATCGAACTCACTTGTAATGGTTTTAACATGCTAAGCTTGCTAATCACTGCACAACGACGAAGTACCCTATAGAGTGTTACATAAGAGAGAGAGAGAGAAAAAAAGAGCAAGGGAAGGAAAGGAATGAAAATAAAATAAAAGAAAGAGTGAAAAGAATGATGGCAAACAGTAAAAAAAAAAGCAATGAAAATAAAAAAACAAATAAACGAAGAAAGAGAGAGCGTAAGCAACAATACTCAAAAAAAAAAAAAAAAAAAAAGAAACAAGGGCCTGATCAGAACTGTTGGGTAGAGAACGAAAGAAAGAAAACGAAAACAAATGAAAGATTTTCGGATGGAAAGAGATGTGGATATATGTCTTTGCCCTTTTTCCGATGTTCCTGTTAATCTCGAATGCCGATCTCAGGGAAAATTAAAGCGACGCAGAATCCGATCGCCGGGGGGCAATGAATACAACATCTTCTTGGCATCCAACATGTGGGTTCGATTTGCTCTCTTCCCAAAAGAAAATTGAGGCTTCCTACGCTGACACAAACAAATATATACAGGCAAATTCCGTTGCCTTCATAAACGGGTAGGAAATTACACAAATGCAGAGATACACATGTACGTATACCAGAAAAGATGTGCGTGTCTAGGGTGAGTACATGCTTATAACAATATATATATATATATATATATATATATATATATATATATATATATATATATATTTATCTGTCGAAGCCTTCACTAATCTATCTATCTATTGCAACCATCTCTGGGCCTACTCATTTTCTATCTACTGCAGTTTTCTCAGATCTATCTATCTAGCTAGCTATCTATTGCAGCCTCCTCTAATCTATCTATCTATCTATCTATCTATCTATCTATTTACTGCAGCCTACTCTGATCTATCTATCTTTCTGGCTCATTCTGTAAAAATCGAAGTCATTTCATATTTATATTTCTTTTTTCTTTCTCTGTTTAGCATCTATCTATCTATCTCTCTATCTATCTATCTATCTATCAGAATCGATGGGTGAATTGTCGCCATTTTATATATTTTTATTTCGCTCATGACCGTTCTTTGTTTTTTGATTTTGTTGACTGTACAGTATAGTAGGGCCAATTGGCCACCGTCTTTGAGAAAAAGAACATCATGCAATTTCCCATCTGGTCACCTAACTCCCCAGACTGCAACCTCCTTGATTATTATGTGTTGGGCAGAGTTAAGCGAGACCCCAACAAAGCTCCTTGTGACACCGAAGATAAACTGAAGGCGAGGATAATGTCAGCATTCACCAAAAAAGAGACCAGTTAGAAGAGTTGCAGTAGATTCCGAAGTCATCTGGGGGTGGTTGAAGCCGATGGCGATTTTGTTGAATAAATTTACTCTACTATTTCAAGATATTTTTGTGTAATTTTGGTAAATATACCTGTTAAAATGAGGTGTCAGTGATAGTCTCATTTTCTATCTCCTGCAGTTTTCTCAGATCTATCTATCTATCTATCTATCTATCTATCTATCTATTTATCTATCTATCTATCTATCTAACTAACTATTGCAACCATCAATGAGTCTACTCATTTTCTATCTACTGCATTTTTCTCAGATCTATCTATCTATCTATCTATATATCTATCTATCTATCTATCTAACTAACTATTGCAACCATCAATGAGTCTACTCATTTTCTATCTACTGCAGTTTTCTCAGATCTATCTATCTATCTATCTATCTATCTATTTATCTATCTATCTATCTATCTAACTAACTATTGCAACCATCAATGAGTCTACTCATTTTCTATCTACTGCAGTTTTCTCAGATCTATCTATCTATCTATCTATCTATCTATCTATCTATCTATCTATCTATCTAACTAACTATTGCAACCATCAATGAATCTACTCATTTTCTATCTACTGCAGTTTTCTCAGATCTATCTATCTATCTAGCTATCTATTGCAGCCTCCTCTAATCTATCTATCTATCTATCTATCTATCTATCTATTTACTGCAGCCTACTCTGATCTATCTATCTTTCTGGCTCATTCTGTTAAAATCGAAGTCATTTCATATTTATATTTCTTTTTTCTTTCTCTGTTTAGCATCTATCTATCTATCTATCTATCTATCTATCTATCTATCTATCTATCTATCAGAATCGATGAGTGAATTGTCGCCATTTTATATATTTTTATTTCGCTCATGACCGTTCTTTGTTTTTGATTTTGTTGACTGTACAGTATAGTAGGGCCAATTGGCCACCGTCTTTGAGAAAAAGAACATCATGCAATTTCCCATCTGGTCACCTAACTCCCCAGACTGCAACCTCCTTGATTATTATGTGTTGGGCAGAGTTAAGCGAGACCCCAACAAAGCTCCTTGTGACACCGAAGATAAACTGAAGGCGAGGATAATGTCAGCATTCACCAAAAAAGAGACCAGTTAGAAGAGTTGCAGTAGATTCCGAAGTCATCTGTAGGTGGTTGAAGCTGATGGCGATTTTGTTGAATAAATTTACTCTACTATTTCAAGATATTTTTGTGTAATTTTGGTAAATATACCTGTTAAAATGAGGTGTCAGTGATAGTCTCATTTTCTATCTCCTGCAGTTTTCTCAGATCTATCTATCTATCTATCTATCTATCTATCTATTTATCTATCTATCTATCTATGTAACTAACTATTGCAACCATCAATGA